GTGTACGTGATAATATGTTCAATATCATCTAAAGTTACCTGTCTGATCGCATATTCCGAGTTAGAGTGGGCAATGCCTTGTCCCGAACATTTGTACAGGAAACCGGAGTACCAGAAGGTGGGGTACTGAGCTGCACGCTCTTTATTATAAAAATGAACTCTCTCCGTCAGTAGATCCTCCATAATATATTTTACTCCACATATGTTCATGACATCCAGATAGCTTTTCAATCGTGTTCCCTCGGCATCTGTGAGCGACAGGTCCGAATTCCTATAAACTAAGTGTCCAAATGGGCTGATTAAAGTAGGTTCAAAGTCAACCCACAAAAAAACACATGTGTCCTGTTCACACGGAAAAGAAGCTTACACCCTGATCCTCAAATTGTCATCAAAGGCGAACCTCTGCCCGTAAGCACAGAACATAAGTTTCTAGGTATAATCTTGCATGAAAAACTAACATTCATATCACACATCAAACGCCTTAAAAATAAATGCATGAAAACAATGAATATCCTGAAGTTACTGTCGCACACATCGTAGGGCAGCGACAGAAAGTGCCTCATGAATCTGTACAAAAGCCTGGTACGTTCACGTCTTGACTATGGGGCAATAATATATCATTCAGCCTCGCCAAGCTCATTGTAGATTCCGGATCATGTACATCACCTGGGCGTCCGCCTCTCTACATGTGCTTATCGAACGAGCCCTGTAGAGAGCCTTTACGCTGAGTCGAATGAGTGGTCACTCTCCCTGCAGAGGTATTACATGTCTTTTATCTATTATCTGAAAGTGAACGGTGATAAGGAACACCCTACGCATTCCATAAAAAATGATCTGTCTAGATGTGCACTTTTTGGAAACCGGCCCTCGATGAGGCAGCCTTACTCCGCGTTAGGGGCCTAGCCGAGATAACAGGTGTGCCGCTTTTTGAACAGTGTCTCATGGCTCCTGCTGCACACCTACCACCGTGGCCGTGGCAGGTGATAGCATGTGGTGTATCTTTCGCCGAAGTGACGAAGCATGAACCTATTGCACATATACACACATACTTCATGGAACTTAAACACAAATACGCTTGCCCTGAATTTTTTAGAGATGCCTCCAAGTCACTCACTTCTGTGTCCTATGCAGCTGTAGGGCCATCCTTTTCAGCTTCCGGTATTCTGCAGCCACAATCAAGCATTTTCACCGTAGATGCTCATGCGTTATCTGTTGCTGCAAAACTAGAACGAGAGGTTATATACACGGACTCTCTGAGTGCTGTAACAGCTTCGAAAACAAAAAAACACATAAAAATTCTGCGCTTGTATCGCTTTACTCGCTTCTATGTGCGATCTACGCACTCAAACGTCATGTTGCGGTGTGCTGGGTGCCAGGGCACCACGAGATTGCAGGAAACGTGGCCGCGGACCAGCTCGCTGTATCTGCGCACGACAACGCTGCCACTAACCCATCTTTGACTGTCCCTGCACTTCACATGAAGCACTTCCTAAAACAAAGCCTCAGATAATGTTCGCAGTGTTTATAGGACAGGCAGACTGAAAATAAACTACATACTATCAAACCCAAACTTGAAAATTGGCCACCGGTATCTAAATCACGCTACAGACAAGTAACACTTACCAGGCTACAAATAGGACACACACACAGCACACATTCATATCTCCTGTCTGGTGGAGAACAACCTAGCTGTGACAAATGTGGGGAACAACTTACAGTTCTCCACATCCTTGTCCAATGGAGCGAGTTGGATGATATCAAAAAAACATTTTCTACGGCCCTATCGACAGCAGCTACCACTACACCCTTCTATGTTTATTGGTAGGGATACATTGTTCAAAACAAAAATCATTGATGGCATTTTTAAAAGAAATACATGGTTTCAAAACTGTATTTTGAGGTGACCCATAGCACGGCCTCCGTTCGGAAGTTGTTGTTGGGGTGGCCGCATACACAGCACCCTGCCTCAAGGCTCTTGTGTTGAAGGGTGCTGATGAGGAAAATGTGCTGAATAACATGTCAGTCCCAAAGTTTTTCTTATTCTTTTACTATGAGTATTGTTATTAGTCTATAGCTAATCATTTCCCTTCACTCACATTGCTTTAATATATTATGTTTTATCCGCCTTAAGGCGAGCAATTTTAGGACCTTATACAGCCCTGTAGCATCATCTTAGTCATTGTTACATTCCAAATCGTTGCCACTCCTCCATCTTTTTCATGGCGCTCTTTGGCAATGACATGGCCCTTGCGCCATTAAAACCTATATATCATAATCTCATATGTATAGATGCGTATATATATACGGTGTGTGTCGGTGATGCCGGCGGCAGAATGCAGCCGAAAGTGTTCATATAATTGCTATCACAGTAATATTTCCAATGTGTCACCGTATGAGCTAATAAACTGTATCAGATTGCTTTTCTACGAACGAAGGTTGGTGCCAACGAATGTTTGTGACTGTGCCACGTTGTTCTTGTGTTAAGATGTTAAATTAACAGATGCTGAGAGGTAAATTGATCTACATTAAATGCAGTAGCGAAGCATTGAAAAGCGGTTAACTTTTCTTCGGGAATCTGGCGTCGGTATTTTATTAAGGATCGTTGAATCTGTAGGAGAATCTAGATGTTTGCACTTTCCAAATATAAATGTAACTGCCTGATGGACTCCCTTTGAGGCAGAGTTGCACAAGGATAATGCACATGACATCAATGAGAAACTGGCTGAATATATTTTTAACAAGACGTTTGATACGATAAAGAGTCACCGCCGTGCTGAAGGCTATCAGTACTTAATACGTAATCACTTATTATTCATTATCATGAAATTAACTCTGCCTAGAAGCACGTATCTTTCAAATGAAGCTCTGCACACAGTCTATAATTGGTGTATTGATTGCCAAATAACCCTTGGCTTTGATTAAGCAGATGCCCTACTATTACCAGAGTTTGAATATACCGCAAATAACATACTGCTTTTTGGAGTTCAAGAACACAAATACTTCGGTTTGTTAGTTACATGAAATCTTAGGCAGGACTACCTCATTAACTTCATTACATCAACTGCCTTGAATAGTCTCTTCTGCTTCAGATGACACTCCCATTTCGCGCCAACCGACATCAAGCTTATGGAATACAAAACTTTTATCCGAACAATTCTCGATATGCTAACATCGCATGGTTCCCGTACACAAACATAACATTGATATACTAGAATTGCTACAAAGAAAGGACATGAGGTTTGCAATAAACAAAAATAAAATTTCAGACTCAGAGACTGAATTATCCTCTTTAGCCATCAAAATAGAGCCAATCTTACTAGAGTAAATTCTTGCATCAGCTACTACACAAGCCACTAAGCATTTACACTCCTACATATATTCTAATAACCTTGGCGTAGCTAACCCTTTATCACGCTACCTGAATATAAACACGAATATGACTGCTTTAAATACTCTTACTTCCAGAGAGGGATGACAGATGGGAATGAATTTGACCCATAAACTTCTAACACTCACTCACTAGACAGGTTCACTACGGCAACCGAGGAACCTTTACTAACACAGCATGGTTGACTTGTATTACCTAACTTAATTGTGAACATACCTCTTTATGCACGCTTGATTTGTTATGCACTCTGTTTCTATTAGAATGGTTTTTACATTATATGATTTCTATATGCCTAAGCTTGTATTTTATGTATTTTAGCACATCGTTATACAATCTGCCGTAATTTGTTGCTGTTTCTATGTATTCTCCTGCGAGCCTCCTTTTCCTGCCATGATTTCTTATGAGATTGGCAGTGTTTTTAAATAAGTATAATGAAACAAAACAAAATGATATGGCAACTGTTGAATACGAATAGGTCTGCATGGATGCAGCCTACTCAGTGCGAGTATGAAGGCAATGAAGGGCTAACTACAAGCGAGGAAGATCGTGGGACGTGAAGGGAGGTGATGGGGGGGGGGGGGGGCTTTTTAGCATTTCTCAATGCCCAACTGCAAGATCCTTCTAGGCAGCAAAGCTATAGGAAATAACCGAAGTTTTTTAAGGCTAGGCTGCGACTCAATCACTGAATTACTTCCTCCGGGCTGTCCTTGCATACGAGGCGACAACAGATGAGTCGCAGATGACCACAGAAGGCTCTACACAAACCACCCCATTGGCTGCAAAGTGGTAGCAACTATTAGTAGAAAATTAAGGAGGACGCAGAAACACAGTGCCTCTTCATGAAAGCTCAAGTCTGCTGTGCGCGAAAGGTCCATGACGGCTCAGCCAAGCTCTGTGTCCCGAACCATGCAGAGTTCTGATCAGATGGTGCAAAATTAAGCAAGCAAGGCAGGATGCGATGTCTTCATCTCGGGAGGAATAACCTCCAGAGTAGAGCATGAAGTGGCAATAAGAAAACTGCTGCGTTTTACTCTGTTTATTTTGTGCCTAAATCAATCAATAAACAATGCCAGTGTTTTCTCCTCGTCTTACTATTTGTTTCAGACCTGTCTTTGTAGGTGAGAAGCAGCTTACTACGGAATTCAATCCCATGGTATGCGGCGTGATCACCCTAACTGCGCGTGCTCAACAGCTGGCACAACCACAGCCATAACGCTCTAACGCATTTTTGCGCTTGAGTTTGCGTAAATGGCTGTGTAAGAGGCTGTTGCCTCTCTACATTACACTCTCTCATAAGTCACGTAATGGTTTTTAAAACGAGATTCTGCAGACAAGCGGTGAACGCGCGGGCTCCTGCGTGGCGTGCTATAACAAGACTTCGGGACGAGTAACAGCAGCAGAAACTACTGTGAACTCATAGTGTGGTCCATTTTCAAGGACGCGTGAACGTAGGGCAAGGTGCCCGTGATGTCTGGAATTTTTAAGTCGAGCCATATGCTGCTCAACATGCTACTCATCGTTCTCTTTGGAGCGACATGGTGCATTGTTTCACGTAGGGTTTTGTTATCAAGTTCAGAAATTAATTATCTGTTTTTACATATTTTTTTCTACAGGAAACGCAACAACCATCCGAGGACCGCGTCAATTCAGAAGAGGAAACGTGAGAAACATTACCTGGTGAACTTGTTTTGGATGTCACGTTTTTTTGCTCTGCAGTACATTTACTTCACAATATAGTTTCCTTGTGTGTATTACAACAATTAGGTGTTAATAAATGCAATGTTTCGTGCTTAAGAAGCAGACTGGTGTTTGTCGTGGTAAGAACTTGGGTTACTTCGATGAAGCCTACGGGAAGCGTTGACCATTAATCCCTAAAATTTTGTTTGGTGCTATTACCATAGCAAAACTAATGATTTCTGTAAAAGATTGTGTAACACATAAAATGACGAGCGCAAGCTCATCTTGTCGTGGGGTGTTTGTGTGGAAGCTTTTCTTGCATTTTTTTCTTTTATTTAATTGTCTTCTACTTGCACCCGCTGGGGCGTTTGTGTACGCAGGTGTATGGGGTGTGGCGACACGCTGGACCCGAGCCAACGAGGGGGGGGGGGAGGGTTTGGCTCCCTCCCACGTCTAGCCGTGCGTGGCTTTGCCGTGTCCGGGGGAAAAAGGGGATCCGGGGGGTGGAGACGGTGCCGGGTGATTGGAGCTTTAAGGCCCCCCGGCAGAGGTAACACACCCCTTTGGCCTCGGCTTCACGTAGACGGCACCCCTCGGCTGAGCCACCAAGGGGAAATTGGCAGTTGCCTTTCTCTTTCTCTCTCTCTCCCTCTCTCTCTACCTTTCTCCATCTTTGTCTTTCTCTCACTTTTTTTTCTGTCCTGTCATCTTTTATCTTCCGCTTGCTTTCATTTTTTTTCTGGTGGCTTGCTTTCATTTTTTTCCTTGTGTAGTTGCCCAACCATAGTTATATCTGGTCATAGCGGCGATGCATGGCTGGCGACTTCAAGTGTTCAAATGATGATTAGTGAATTTTTGCGGCGCAAAAGCCATGGGTGGCCAAATAAAGCCGTGTATTCGATGCGATTCAAGCTGTGACCAATAATTGCGATGAGAGGGTGTAAAACGCCTGTGTAGAGGCCTAAACTCACGCGCTATATAAAGAAATAAGTTGTGTCATAAATAAGTCATAATTTCGATTTCTACAAAATTATGAGAGTGATACGCAATTTCATGTATGGGTCTAAAATAAATTGGAAGTGACCATGGTATCTACAAGTGAGCGACTGTAAAATATCACAAATGCCTCCTGAACTGCATTAAATGCAAAGGCTGAGAGGCAGGTGCTTTTCAGAGTATGTTGCTGCCACAGCAACAACCTCTGCGGAAAGGTTATGCTACGGATTTTCCTTGTATTTGAAGCTGAAGCTGTGAATTTCATCTATAAACGCAAACGCAAAGTATTTTAAAAATGGCTTTTTTCCAGTTAACATAAAAGAATGAAGTGGAATGTGTTTGCGGTAAGCTAACGAAAAATGTTTTTTAATGGAGTGTGGTATACTGCATTGGGTGTGAATGTGGTTGAAAGTGAGTGATTCACCACATCTAACACACAAAGGTGAATTGCCACCGCACAAACGGTATGAATGTGTGCTCTGTGTATCTCCCGTTCTCAGCCTTGGAAGTGTAACTTCTGTGTGGCGTGATTTGATTCTGGCGCCCAATTTACAAAGAAATGGCTTGATGACGTGTAGTTTATTTTCTGCGTGAGTATACATTGTGCTCTGCCAGTAAGCTCTGGGCTTTTAAGATTGACTTTTAAGTCAAGAGCAGGGATAGGTACGGATGTAATAACTCCATCTTTCTTGGAGTGAAGTGGCTAGCTGGCCCGACATCACGTTCTCGTATGATCTAGCAGTGTCCTGGCATTCAGCACACTGCAACACTCTGTTTGTACTTGTACACTGTGCATACTAGTGAATAAAACAAGGCAAGGGCAAAGTTTTTGAATTTTTTAAAAGTTTTTGGAGCTTTTGCAACGCTTAGGGAATCTGTGGAAATTACTGCCTTTTGTAGCTTTGATTATTTATTGAGTTTAACGGCCCAAGTATCGCAAACGCTTATGCGGTGAAGATGCTTGTGTCAGGATGCAGAGTGCCGGCATCCGAAAGGCATGAACCAACCTTTGCGTACGACACAGCAGTGGAAGACTTTAAGGCATCAGTAAAGAATTTAGGACAAATATATTTATGTTGCAGTTCCATGAAGTGTATGTGGATGTGTGCAATGTGCGCGTGTTTTGTAGCCGCTAAAAAACACACATTCCAATGTATCGTCCGCCACTGCCAAGTGGTAGGTGTGCTGCAGGAGCCATCAAAAGGTGTTCAAGTGGCACACTGGTTTCCTGAGGAAAGCCGCTGACACGAAGCGAGTAGTGTTGTTGCAACAAAGGCCGGTTGTAGAACAGTGCTGAACTTGACATGTCATTAATACCTCACTCAAGACCTCACCTTTCTGAAAAAAAAAGCATGTGCTTTATCGTGGGTTATGGGCGAACCCTTTCTCGTCAGCCTATTTGGTAACCTTATGCAAACGAACTTGAAGCTGCCGCTCACAAAATGCGAGATTGCAGGGTTTAAACCGACCTGAACGTCGTCGACATATGTACAGTAAAAGATATTGCGTGGAATGTGGTAATGTAAGGTATCCATTTTTTACAATAAGAAAACCGTCAGGCCTGCGCAGAACACGCAGCACAGTTACGGCGAAAGCTATAGAAGAGCGGCCTTTCAGAGCCTTTTTTAAACGCTTTTTGGGATGCTACAAGCACACTGCTGGGTACCCACTGCGCGATAAATAATCATACATTTTGTGCAGTAGGCCACCATATTGTTTGTTTACTTGTTTGTTTGTTTGTTTGTTTGTTTGTTTGTTTGTTTGTTTGTTTGTTTGTTTGTTTGTTCGTTTGTTTGTTTGTAGCCTGGAATCCATGGCACATACCCACTCTGGGGGATAGGCCAAGAAAACATATATAGTTCTATAGACGGTAACTGCACTATTGCTTAAAAAAAGTAAAATGGTGTTGAAGGAAGACATTAAAAAGACGAAGACTCGGAGAGTTAGAATTAAACAAGAAAATAATCACTAATATAATACCAATACTTTGATTTTCGGAGCTGACCAGACTGCTGAGTTTGCCAAACCCGATCAACTTGCGGATGTATGTCTTAGATTCATTCACATCTCGAACATCACTTCCCAACCCCTTTTCTTGTGTATTTTTTAAAGTGGGCCTTACGTTGAATAACAATTAGTGTCTTGAATAAAATTACACACCGCATCAAATACATCCCTGTGGCAATTTAAAAGAAGGCACCATAATTTACACCGACTTCTGTGGTTAAATTTCAACCTAGCTTCGCAAACGTAATATCTAGAAGTCTTTTCCTAATTACTGCTCAGTAACGGCAAAAGACAAAATAATGCTCAATAGTTTCTGAATCTTCGCAGAACAGACAAAGAGGCGAGAGTGTCAGACCAGCTCTGTGTAAATAAAAATTCAATGGAGCAACACGGCACCAGAATCTGAAGATAAGTTGAAGTTTTTTCGACGGACTCCGTTGAGATTTCCATAAAAATTTGAGGTGCTGATAATCTGTCAACTTTGTGATATTTTCCAAGCTATTCGTAAAATTGCCTATTCCCTGTATCTAACACCTGCTAAGTATTGCAACTCTGGAAGTACCGAAATTATTGCTCACGCCAAGGCATATGCCAGTTCATTTCATTGTGACCCGCCGTGACCTGGGACTAACAAAAAATTCAGAAGCTTTAAATGCGGTAGTGCTAATGTGCGGAACGCGGCTAGGGCACGAGATTGTTCTGAGGTTGTCAGAGCTGCACAAACCGAAAATGAATCTGTTAGGATAATTGCAGTTGTTTCCGTCGTGGGAAGCTTTCGAAGTGCAAAAATAATAGCTACTAGCTTGGCTTCAAATATAGGAGACAAATCTGGAAGCCTCTCAGAGAAAGACCAGCCGAGGATATCAGAGGTAATTCCTACGCCTGCCTCTTCATTGTTCACAGAAGCATCTGGGGCTATTAGATTATTTGTTTCTGCATGTACCAGGTAATCTTTTAATGTATTGGTCAAAAATCTGAGAGATTGCAACATGGCTTTTAGGGGGAAGATTTAATCATACTCTATCCTAATATTTAGAGTTGAGAATTAGTTCCGATTACCATTTTAATGTCTAAGCTTATGCAATCTAGTGTCTTTTCAACAATAATCATCTGAGGTGGGATGACATTATGGCCAATGTGCAAGAAAGAAGGAGTCAGGGTAGCTGATGAATGCGTACTCCGATCTTCGCGCCGGTAAAGCGTAGAACTTTAAGAAGGTTTGAACCATTTGGATGTGGAGTCGACAGAGGAGTGTTGATAAGCGCACTTTCTGATACAACACATTATTTGCCACGAACCTGGGAAGTCCCAGGCATATTCGCTGGGCTTCTTGCTCTAACATTATTAGAGGTTTAATATTATAACCAAAGGCCCCCGAGTATAATACGCACCCAAATCCCAACAATGGTCACATGTGCATTTTGAACAGTAATAACACCGTGTCCCTGCGCAGGCCATATTTTCTCTTGCTTAGACTGCGTCATAAACCTAACACTTGTTGCGCCTTTTCTGTTATATATTCTATGGTTGGGCTTCATTAAGGTTTTAATTAAAAACTATTCTCAAGTATTTGACTGAATTCACTTGTGGAATATGTTCCCGATTATATAATACAGAGTTTTAAATTGAGTTCGCTGTGAGAAACACCAAGAGAGCCCTTTTACTGATGTATAATGATAATGAAATTGACGGCAACCAAATTTCTAGAGTATGAGTTTATCTTTGCCATTTCGGTGGAATTAGTAAATGTCACTGTCTGCAGCGAAGAACGCGATATCATCTGCATAAATGTAGACCCTGATGTCCTGATCAATTCGAATAGAGCTCGTCAGTATATTGAATAATTCTCGAGATAGGACGGCTCCTTGGGGTCTCCACGTTTCTGTTTGAATTTTTGTGAACGACTAGTCATCCTTCACGCAATAAAATTGTCTTGATTTTAAGAATTCTGCTATTCACTTAATATTATAACGAGAAAACTTTTGTCTCTGCAGGGTGTTCAAGAGATTGAAGGGCTGGACACTGTCTTACGCTTTAGCTATGTCGAGAGTTACTAACGTGGCGTATTGTTTCCTTTTACGAGCAAGCTGTATTCAACTCTCTAAATCCACATAGGC